CACTTACCCGAGTATTCATAGAAGAAACGTTGAGATTTACGGATTGTATACTGCAGCTTTTGGTGCAAAATGTCTCACAGCTTTTTCCTATTCTCTAACAGCTCTTTGTAGCTAGCGTCCGATTGTATGGTTTTATGAAGACCTTCCAGGTCTGCTATACATTTAAGCAGTTCTTCCGTGCGTCGTTGCTGCTCCTTCTTTCTTCTTGTGCACACTTTGATAATGTCAGCGGTCTCCCCTCCTCCTACCTGCCAGCGAGCGGCGTCTACTCTCCGCTGCTCGCCGCTCGTGTCCTCCACGCCTCCCAGCGGCAGCATGTATAACGCTGCACGCTGGGAGGTCGCAAATTTATGCAAACGCCAGGGTCACGTGAGTGACCCGGCGTTAAAGCAACAGTACCACAATCACAGTGGGAGGCGTAGATATCTCCCACGTATGATTGTTAATTCTGATTGGAAGTTATCCAATCAGAATTAAACAAAGGGTATTTATACTTACCTTTCCTGTCTCTCAGTGCCCTGTTGTGGTCTTGTGATACCTGTTTTGCAGTTTTCTTGTGTTGCTCTCTGGTTACCGATTATTTGGCTCGTTATTCCGATTATCCTGTCTTCTCCACTCCTTTGACCTCGGCTTGTTTCTCGTTCTCCCGTTTTCTGGCTCCCTTTACTTGGCTTGTCTCCTGACCATTCTTAGTGTGCTTAGCCCAGCCACTCTAAGGACCGGTATAGCATCCTTCCTCTCTGTGACCTGTTAGCGTGTTAGGTTCCAGAATCGTGACATTACAACAGGGCCACCATGGAACCTGCTGACATTCCACAGTTGTTAGTAAATCAGGAGGCTAGAATGGATGGTTTAGACCACCGTATGGATCAGTTTGCCCAGGCTTTACAAACCATACTGGCTCGTACTGCCCACTTGCAACATGCCGGTCAAGAAGCTGTTGCTGCTGTGCCAGAACCCATTCCCGATCCAGTAACCACTCCTGCTCACGTGGTTCACATGACACCACCTCAGCGCTATAGCGGTGATCCAGCGTTGTGCCGTGGTTTCCTCAACCAAATTGATATTCATTTGGTGATGAATCCTCGTTCCTACCCCACTGACAGAACCAAAATTGCTTTTCTGATCAACCACTTGTCCGGGAAAGCTCTAGCATGGGCTAATCCCATGTGGGAGAATACGTCCCCAATGTCCTTTGCAGACTTTTAAACGTACATTTGATCAACCTGGCAGGGTTGCTTCTGCTGGCAAAGCTCTGCTTAGGGTCCGACAGGGTAATAGATCTGTAGCGGATTATACCATTGAATTCCGCACTCTGGCAGCTGAAGTGGTTTGGAATAACGACACCCTCGTAACAGCCTTTCAGGAGGGTTTGGCCGCTTACATATTAGATGAAAGAGCATCCAGGGAATTGCCTGTTCTTCTGGATGATGTAATAGATTGTATCATTCTTATTGACAACCGTATTAGAGAGAGGAGTAGTCAAAGAAGGATGAATACACAGGTGTTACCTTCTTTACCCAGTACTGCATTACTAGCATTACCTCCCCCTAATCAACCACCTCCCGAACCCATGCAATTAGGTGCTGTAGGCTTAACTGAAGCTGAAAGAACGTACCACAGAAGGGAGGGCTTGTGCCTTTATTGTGGAAAGAGGGGGCATCTCTGAAGAAACTGTCCTAGTTTGCAGGGAAACTTCAGCACCTAAGGCCTAGAGAGGGGTCGGCCTCGGGTGTTATGGTTTTTTCCCCTTGTGTCCATCTCCAGACCATTTATTACGGTTACTCTTTTGGTCAATCAAACCACTATAACAACTAAAGCCTTGATCGATTCAGGTGCTGCAGACAACTTTATGGATGAGAACTTTGCAAAAACCGCAGCCTTGAATCTGATCCAAAAGGCCACACCCTTGGCCGTTGAGGCCATAGATGGTAGACCACTTGATAAACCTCTGGTGACCCATGAAACCCAAGAAATGGTTATGGCCGTGGGTGCCTTACACAAAGAAAGGTTAACCTTCCAAATAATTGACACCCCTACAGCTTCCATCGTTCTGGGCTTTCCCTGGTTAGTTAAGCATAACCCGGTACTTGATTGGGGTTGTCTAGATATACTCTCCTGGGGGGAATCTTGTCAACAAGACTGTATGGCCCGTTTACATCCCGTTTGCTTACTTAATGTGCCTACAGTTAAACCACTTTCTGTTTCTGTCCCTCCTGTGTATGCAGACCTCGCATTGGTCTTTGAAAAAAGGGAAGCTGATAAACTACCCCCACACCGGGATTATGATTGTGCCATAAACCTGTTACCTGGAACAATGCCTCCTAGGGGTAAGGTCTACCCGCTTTCTGAGAAAGAAAACCAGGTCATGGAGGAGTACATACAGGAATCCTTTTTTTATCAGAAGGTCCTCCTCTCCGGCTGGTGCTGGTTTCTTTTTTGTTGCCAAGAAAGAGGGCGATTTGAGGCCATGTATAGACTATAGGGGCCTGAATAATATAACAGTTAAAAACGCTTATCCTATCCATCTCATTACTGAGTTGTTTGACCGTGTTAAAGGTTCTAGATATTATACTAAACTAGTTTAGGTCGTAGGGGTGCTGCTCCTTCTTATGTCCCGGGTGATAGGGTTTGGTTGTCCTCTAAGAATCTCCGCCTCAGGGTCCCCTTGATGAAATTCGCGCCCAGGTTCCTTGGCCCCTATGAGGTATTGCGTAAGGTCAATCCTGTGTCCTACTCCCTGGCCTTGCCTCCTTCCATGCGTATACCTAACACTTTTCACACCTCCCTTGTGAAGCCCCTGCTCTGTAATCGATTCTCTGGTCCTCTCAGGCGTCCGGATTCCCTCCGCGCTGTCTCTAGTGACATGTACGAAGTGGCTGCTCTGCTTGATTCTCGTTTTTCTCGGGGTTGGTTGCAGTATCTGGTTGATTGGAAGGGTTACAGCCCTGAGGAGCGGTCTCCCCTCCTCCTACCTGTTGGTGAGCGGCGTCTCCTCTCCGCCACTTGCCGCTCGCGTCCTCCACGCCTCCCAGCGGCAGCATGTATAACGCTGCACGCTGGGAGGTCGCAAATTTATGCAAACACCAGGGTCACATGACCCGGCGTTAAAGCAACAGTACCACAATCACAGTGGGAGGCGTAGATATCTCCCACGTGTGATTGTTAATTCTAATTGGAAGTTATCCAATCAGAATTAAACAAAGGGTATTTATACTTACCTTTCCTGTCTCTCAGTGCCCTGTTGTGGTCTTGTGATACCTGTATTGCAGTTTTCTTGTGTTGCTCTCTGGTTACCGATTATTTGGCTTGTTATTCCGATTATCCTGTCTTCTCCACTCCTTTGACCTTGGCTTGTTTCTCGTTCTCCCGTTTTCTGGCTCCCTTTACTTGGCTTGTCTCCTGACCATTCTTAGTGTGCTTAGCCCGGCCACTCTAAGGACCGGTATAGCATCCTTCCTCTCTGTGACCTGTTAGCGTGTTCCAGAATCGTGACATTTAAGGTGACCCCGGATAGCACATTTATGTGCCTCCCATATCATCAAAGCGGGCACCTCAGGGGTGTCGTTCTCTGTGAAATATGTGACTAGTGCCATCGTTAAGAATTAATTCATTCATCCTCCATTGGCGGTCTCTGGGTCGGAATAATGGGGATTTAATGCTTGCTAAGATGGGGGAGTGGTCCGACCAACCCTGTATTCCGATCCCCGCATCTAGGAGCAGAGGCAAGAACTCCTGAGCTAGGAATATGTAGTCTAGCCTGCTGTAGTGCTTGTGCACCATGAAGAAATCAGAGTAATCCCTACCGGTAGGGTGGAGGACCCTCCAGCAGTCCGCTAGGCCAGCGCCACATAATTCTGCTCGGATGGTCTGTAGACAGTGGGTCGATATAGAGCTAGTCCCTCTAGATGTGTCAACTCTTGGGTCAAGGGCCACATTCAGATCTCCCGCTATGATCAGCAGGCCTTCCCTGAACCTTTCCAATTTACGTAAGGTCTCCCTCATGCTGTCGAGCATTTGGGGCATAGATGGTGGCTAGCGTGTAAGTGGAACCTGCTATAGTACCCTTGAGGAAGAGGAACCGTCCTGTTTCATCGGCCAGCGTATTCGTACATTCGAACGGTACCGTACGGGCAAATAGTATTGCCACCCCAGCTTTTTTGGCTGTTGGGTGGTCGGCGAAGTCTCCCTGGGGAAAACTCGCGTCTTTAAATGTTGGGGCTGACTTTCCCCTGAAATGAGTCTCTTGCAAGAATGCGATGGACGCTCGCGCAGTTCCCCTCGCCCCTTCCCCCTCCCCAACAAAGTCCCAGAGACTCCCCTACCACAGCCGTCTGTCCCTGTATGTGTGCAATCGGCCTTGTTCCCAATGACTGTTCCAGCTTACCAGTCCCGTGTCAGCCCGGTCCTGCTGCTAGTGTATCATTCTTCCGGACTGTTCGGACCCCCTCTGCGGTGTGGGAGCGTGGCCCGTTCTGTAGGTGGGATCGTTGGGTTGGACGCATTCAGTGGGTCTCTCCTCGCTGCTATTGCTTCATCTAGAATCCAATTGCGCACTCTCACCAGTGGTAGGTTAAGGGTCCTCATAAGGCGTGGGACCTCTTCTGGCCAGCGGGCCGCGATCCATGTGTTTCCATGCTTTGCTTGAAGGCTGAAGGGGAAACCCCAGCGGTATGGGATCCTCTTGTCACGCAGTATGCTCGTCACCGGGCGTAGCGCTCTCCTGGCGTCCAGCGTTAAACTTGACAGGTCCTGGTATAAGGATATTTACCCTCCGCGGCACAATATGGAGGGCCTGTCTCTAGCAGCCATCATGATCTTGTTTCTTTGGTCCTGCATAGTCATACAGCAAATGACATCTCTAGGGCTGCGTCACGTCTCGCCGGCCCCAGTGCTCTGTGAGCGCGGTCCATGCAGAGTTCCTCAGGTGCGTCTTCCCCCAGCACTTGTGTAAATAGGGTGCGCAGAGAGGCTTGGAGAGGTTCATCATCCGTCTCGGACTATGGCAGGCCGTGTATTCGGATATTCTTGCGCCTACTTCTATTTTCCAGGTCTTCTACCTGTCTGCGGAGGGTGATCAAGAGGTTGCCCTGTCTGGTTACTGCCACCTCTGTTGCTTTATGTTGGTCCTCACATCCCTGGGCAGCTGTTTCAACCTCTTCCACTTTCTGCTCTAAGGCAGTGAGATCCGACCGAAGGCCCGCCAGCTCCTCACGCAATGCCGCCCGCAGCTCCTGTGCTAACGAGCTGGTGTCCTCCCTTGTCAGCATTTTTGCAGAGATCTGGGTAAGCTCTGCCCGTATCTGGGCTAGTTCACTCAGTTGAGTGCCTGCCACAGAGGATTCTCCCGCACTCTCCAAGCCCGGGGAGGCGGGCGCCATTTTGTCGGTGGGTCGCGGTCCTCGCAGATCCGACGGTGTGACGATGAACTCGTCCATCGGTCCAGTAAGGCGTCGTGGGGAGTCAGTCCTCGCCGGTCCCGGGGTATTGGGCCTCTTGTTCCGGACCATATCCCTCCCGTATACCGCTAGTTGTTGCGGTTTGATCAGCCTGGGGTGCGGAGCTAGTTTAGTTTGTGTCCTGCACCATGCTCGTCCAGCAATATTTTTTTTTTTTATATTTAGTATTTGGAACACAATCTTTACAAGTTTTTCCAAAATGTCAACGCCCTATATTGGTAGTTAGAGGCCCTACCTTTTCAAAGCTGATTTTTTAAATAGAATAAAATAAAATAATTTTATAAGTTTAATAATGGTCCCAAAAATTACAATTGGAATACAATATATATATATATATATATATATATATATATATATACAGTTGCAAAAAAAAGTATGTGAACCCTTTGGAATGATATGGATTTCTGCACAAATTGGTCATAAAATGTGATCTGATCATCATCTAAGTCACAACAATAGACAATCACAGTATGCTTAAACTTATAACACACAAAGAATGAAATGTTGCCATGTTTTTATTGAACACACCATGTAAACATTCACAGTGCAGGTGGAAAAAGTATGTGAACCCCTAGACTAATGACATCTCCAAGAGCTAATTGGAGTGAGATGTCAGCCAACTGGAGTCCAATCAATGAGATGAGATTGGAGGTGTTGGTTACAGATGCCCTGCCCTATAAAAAACACACACCAGTTCTGGGTTTGCTTTTCACAAGAAGCATTGCCTGATGTGAATGATGCCTCACACAAAAGAGCTCTCAGAAGACCTACAATTAAGAATTGTTGACTTGCATAAAGCTGGAAAGGGTTATAAAAGTATCTCCAAAAGCCTTGCTGTTCATCAGTCCACGGTAAGACAAATTGTCTATAAATGGAGAAAGTTCAGCACTGCTGCTACTCTCCCTAGGAGTGGCCGTCCTGTAAAGATGACTGCAAGAGCACAGCGCAGACTGCTCAATGAGGTGAAGAAGAATCCTAGAGTGTCAGCTAAAGACTTACAAAAGTCACTGGCAAATGCTAACATCCCTGTTAGCGAATCTACAATACGTAAAACACTAAACAAGAATGGATTTCATGGGAGGATACCACAGAGGAAGCCACTGCTGCCCAAACAAAACATTGCTGCACATTTACAGTTTGCACAAGAGCACCTGGATGTTCCACAGCAGTACTGTCAAAATATTCTGTGGACAGAGGAAACCAAAGTTGAGTTGTTTGGAAGAAACACACAACGCTATGTGTGGTGAAAAAAAGGCACAGCACACCAACATCAAAACCTCATCCCAACTGTGAAGTATGGTGGTGGAGGCATCATGGTTTGGGGCTGCTTTGCTGCGTCAGGGCCTGGATGGATTGCTATCATTGAAGGAAAAATGAATTCCCAAGTTTATCAAGACATTTTGCAAGAGAACTTAAGGCCATCTGTCTACCAGCTGAAGCTCAACAGAAGATGAGTGTTGCAACAGGACAATGACCCAAAGTATAGAAGTAGATCAACAACAGAATGGCTTAAACAGAAGAAAATATGCCTTCTGAAGTGGCCCAGAGTCCTGACCTCTACCCGATTGAGATGCTGTGGCATGACCTCAAGAAAGCGATTCACACTAGACATCCCAAGAATATTGCTGAACTGAAACAGTTCGGTAAAGAGGAATGGTCAAGAGTTACTCCTAACCGTTGTGCACGTCTGATCTGCACCTACAGGAAATGTTTGGTTGAAGTTATTGCTGCCAAAGGAGGTTCAACCAGTTATCAAATCCAAGGGTTCACATACTTTTTCCACCTGCACTGTGAATGTTTACATGGTGTGTTCTATAAAAACATGGCAACATTTTATTCTTTGTGTGTTATTAGTTTAAGCAGACTGTGATTGTCTATTGTTGTGACTTAGATGATGATCAGATCACATTTTATGACCAATTTGTGCCGAAATCCATATCATTCCAAAGGGTTCACATTCTTTTTCTTGCAACTGTATATAACACACATCATAGAGCATATTCATTTGGAGGTATTCCAACACTTTTCAGTTGGCCATGTTGCCATCAGTTTCTACTATATTTTGTTGTAATATTGTATATTTTCTGTTTTTCATACAATCAGACTTCTGATGTATATTTGGTAGACCTGATGTATGCAGTTGCACTAAAATAAATTGTGCTCAGCTACATCTTTTTCAGTACAGCAATACCCCTTGTATATGTTTCCAAGGATTTTTCACAGGGCTAAATAAGAGATTTGCGTATTTAAGTTTTGAAACTTGGTGTTTGGCAGTTTAATTACCTATGCATTTGTCTCCTGAAATGACAGGTGCAAACACTGATCAGTATATCCTTACAATCTCTTAACCCTATGGAATACATACCCTTTCTCTCTACAAATATCACACACCAATATTATTTACTTCTATTACTTTTTAAATTTTAATATTTTACTATTTGTGTTTTGTTTTCATCTACACACCTCATACCACTAACATGAATCCAAATATGACCATAACCCTTTCTCACTCCAATTTTGGTCACATCACTACCGCCATAAACATACACCTCAAACTGGAAAACACATTATCATGCACCATGGCCTGCTCTGTTGCTGTAACTTGTCTGCTGAGTGTTGGTGGAGAGTTATGAAAAATAGCCCTCCTACCCCTATTTCACAAAATTATAAATTATCCCATTCACTATATAGCAACAAAAATTATATCCAAATTCCTATTTCTTATGTTACTTGCCCTTGCAAAAATGTGGAGTCTAACCCTGGTCCCCCAGCTAATTCTAGTCCTAATCTCCCCACTAAAAAAGGCCTCTCTTTTGTGCACTGCAACATCCGTAGTTTACGCCCTAAACTGGATGCAAAACAAACCTACTGTTCCCATTACAAACCAAAAATCACTGTGCTCTCTGAATCATGGTTAACAACTAAATACCAGACTCCGCCATTGCAATACAGGGGTATTCATGTTTTAGAAATGACAGAGCAAAGAGAGGAGTCATTGTTATTTATGTTGACAAGTTCATCAAATTTACTACTTTAAAAAACTATAAGTCCCCTTCTGCCTTTGATTTCCTTTCTGGTCCAATTGAGACCCATTTCAGTAAAACATTGTTGCTGGTATCTACCACCTACCTAGCTCTCCAGTGCACTCCCTTACTGACAAAGCCCATCTACTTAATGAAACTGTAGCTCAAAACCAAAAAAGTGAAATGTTGGTTTTTGGAGATTTTAATATTGATTGGCTGAATCCTAAAAATAATAAATCATGTAAGCTGTTTAACACCAGAACCATACCTTGCTAGATTGGATTCTCTCCAGTTGTCCTGACAGAATCCATGAGGCGTGCGTTCTCCCTAACAGTTTCAGTGACCACTGTCTAGTGTACTGCATATGCAAAATAAAGGCCACTAAATCCCCTCCCAAGATCATAATCACCAGGTCTTTAAAAATAAAAATAAAAAAATCTTGAATCCTTTTTAACCCCTTAAGGACTGGACTGTTTTTGCGATGTTGTACATTTGCGACCAGGCATATTTTTACACTTTGTGATGTTTGTGTTTGGCTGTAATTTTCCGCTCTCTCATTTATTGTTCCCATACAAATTATATATTGTTTTTTCAGGACAAAATGGGATTTCTTTACATACCATTATTTATATAATCTCATGTATTTTAATTTAAAAAAAATAAAAAATATGATGAAAAATTGAAAAAAATACATGTTTTTTGACTTTTACTTGAAAAATATTTTACTCATCTACAAAAGCGAATGAAAAAAACTGCTAAATAGATTCAAATTTTGTCCTGAGTTTAAAAATACCCAGTGTTTATGTGCTTTTTTGATTTTTAAAATTTATCAATGGTGACATTGTAACACTATTATCTGTCATAAATCTCTGAATAACACCCCACATGTAAATATTTTTTTTAAAGTAGACAACCCAGGGTATTCAATATGGGGTATGTCCAGTCTTTTTTAGTAGCCACTTAGTTGAAAACACTGGCCAATGTAAGCATTCATATTTGTTTGTGTGTGAAAAAAGTAAAAAAACAAAATTGAACGCTAATTTTGGCCAGTGTTTGTGACTAAGTGGTTACTAAAAAAGACTGGACATACCCCATTTGCATTTGCAATAACTTGGGTTGTCTTCTTTTGCAAATGGTATGCCATCATGGGGGTAATTCTCATTCCTGGGCTACCATACGCTCTCAAAGGCAACGTAACCAACCTGGCCATTTTCAATGTAAAAATATTTTATCCATATATTTGACCATGTAACTTTCAAAAATGCTATAAAACCTGTACATGGGGGGTACTGTTTTACTCGGGAGACATCGCTGAACACAAATATTAGTGTTTAAAAACTGGAAAATGTATCACAACAATTATATCATCAGTAAAAGTGCTGTTTGTGTGTGAAAAATGAAAAAAAAGTAACTTTCACTGACAATATCATCACTGTGATATGTTTTACTGTTTTGAATCACTAATATTTGTGTTCAGCGAAGTCTCCCGAGTAAAACAGTACCCCCCATGTACAGGTTTTAGGGTGTCGTAGAACGTTACAGGGTAAAATACAGTGCTAACAAATTAAATTCTCTGGAATTTCGGCCTGGGTTGGCAGGCAGGTCCCTCAAATTGCAATCAATAAAATTACTGAATTATGTAAAAATATTACATAAATACGCACGTAGAATTTAAATATATATGCATATTTATATATTTGAAGTCTACGTGTATATTTATATAATTATTTATGTAATTATGTATATGGACATATGTATATTTCGTATTATTTTTATTTATTTATATATACATAGATATATATATATACAAATTCATTCTAAGTGTATTTTGATATAAATATATGTATATTAATTTTAAAATATAGTTAGAATAAAATTTCATATAGATATATAATTTTTTTCAATTTTTATTATTTAAAAAAATTAAATTTAATTTAAATTACTTATTATTTATATTTTATAATATATATATATGCAATATATAGTTATTTTATACTTATAGTTATTTTATATGTTATATATATACGT